TAATTAAAAAAATAATTTAGAAAAAAAAAAAAGGTTTTGTTCTACAACTTAGAAGCATTATTTCTGTTTTTTGAATATAATTACCCGGACTTAAGTTTACCAAAAAGGACTTACAGTTTACTGAATTAGTCCGGATGAACCGAAAAAAATACAATAAACAGTTGTTTTTTTTATATAAAAACTGAATATTTTTTATTTCAAGTATAGAAATATAAACAAAAATTCGATATCTTGTGAAAAAATCAGTTCAATATCTTAAATGCTTCTTTATTTATAAGCTATTTCTTTACTTTGTATTAGAGCAGTGGTGGCCAAACCACTGCCTGCGTGCAAAAAAATAACTGCAGAGACATTTTTAAATGCCTGTTAAACATTTTGGATATATAGGAGACAACCATCTTGGTAATGTGATACTTCTATCTACCTCAAAAATCAATCCAGACATCAAAAACTAGTTTCAGGCGGTCAAGGTCACCACTCTTAATAATTATATTGCTTTGATATAAATAATTATAATAGTTATTAGTCACTTATATTTTCGTAGAAATAAATATTTTTTGCCCGCAAAAGTGTTTTTAACTTTTATTTGCCTGTATCCTAAAAAGTCTGGCCACCCCTGTATTAGAGCGACGCATATAGTACATGCAGCAGTATATTTTTCAACATTTTGTTTAATAAGTAAATAATTAAGGGATCTTTCATAATTATGTCACGCAGTTTTTGACCCCCCCCCCCCCCGTAACGCATCTGTAACGCTTTATTGGGGGAGGGTAGAATGCAAAATTTTACAAAATACAAAACGGTTTTAAATATAATAATGCCTATATTTCTCTGAGCTTCTTTGAGTTAATTAATTAGTACTTTTCAGTCTGTTTAATGTTTTTTTTTCACCCCAATAGTTTTGAGTAAAATTTTATAAATTAAAATCGCTATCCTAAACATGATACCAATTTTAAAAATTTATTCTTCCTATATATAATACATGCAAAATATTATATACATAATATATAATAATATATTATACATGCAAAAATTTTATTTTTTGAACACAATTTTTTTTCAACTAACAAAACGTAAGCGTGGTCGAGTGGATTCTGCCTCCGGCTAGTAAACCGAGGGTTCCAAGTTTGCTTCTCGGTATCGAAATTTATTCTTTTAGTTAGTGCACAAAGAATGTTATTTTGTTGCTGCACACTTTTGTGCACCAACTAAATCAAGTTCTGCACTTGAACCATTTAGACGCAGTTGATTTTACAATCAGCATGTAGATACATTAACTGAGGGTTTTGGTTTGGCCAGATAGTCTTTTAATTAAAAGAAAGTCTTCTCTAATAAAAAAAATGTTGCGTCACAAAATCGAGACCCCTCTTCCTCGTAACAAATCTTCACAAAATCGACTACCCTATTGACGACCGACCCCCTCTCCCTAAGCGTGACGTAATTTATGGACGACCCTTAATATAATAAAACAATAATATACTTTTAAAATGTTATTTTAAAATTGAGTACAAGTTATAAAAATTTTTATTAAAAATCATATCAAAAAATATATATATTATCGAAAAACTTGTAAAAATTTTTTATTTTTAGTTAAAAAACCATAGTAATGCAAAATATTCAAAATAATTTTAACATGAAACTAATATTTTTTTTGAACTTTTTATAAAATTTCGCTTCTTTTGAGTACCAGGTTGACCTACTTTTTTTCAAAAATTGTTAGGGACCCTGTAAATGTTCAATTGACTTGAGGCACCTCTAAAAATACTTTTTATGCCAAAAATTTTTTTAATCAGTGATAATTTATTATATCGCATATATTTAGAGCTATTACAAAACAGTTTTGAAAAATTTCTGTTTTTCAATGCACCCTACTGTATATTCCATACATATATATAAAGTATAGTACGTATATATACATATATATAAAGTACACCTTGGCATATGGTATTACACTTAGAACAACGTTCACCCGAATATTGTAATCTTTTTCAGAAAGAAGCAAAAAACTTTATCTTTATTTACTTAATTATAACTGTCATTGAAAGCACAAATTTTAGACATTTTATATTCCTTATAAACAAAACAGTGAATATAGCTAATTTAGAAAATTTACTTAAAAATTATAATGAAGATAAAATCACACTTTACTCACAGCCTTGCTCAGCTTTGCAAGGCCACAAACAGCGTTTACAAGGCCTATTAGTAAGACACCACGAATTATACCTATCAAAAAAATTAACTTGACCAAAAATTTATTTTCACAAACAAAATAAAATAACCAAAAAAAAAATAATAATAATGCATTATTTTATCGGAACACATAAGTACACAAAAAATCACGTCAAACAAAAAACGATTAAAATTTGTTTTTATAAACTTGCAAGATTGTTTTAATCATTCGCCTGTGACTTCATTTTCTTTGCAAAAAAGCATTAATCTTCAGAGGCAAATTAGGATCCGAGAAGTATTCTGAAAAATTTTTGTTATTATTTTTAGTAAAAAATATTTATTAATATTTAGATTTAACGAAAAGTAATATTTAGATAGTAATATAGTAAGTTATTAGTTATAAGTAATTTGTAATATTTAGATTTAATAAAAAATATTTAGTAATATATATATATATATATATATATATATATATACATATATATATATATATATATATATATATATATATATATATATATATATATATATATATATATATATATATATATATATATATATATATATATATATATATATATATATACATATATATATATATATATATTATATACACACACACACACACACACATGTACGTTTTATTTAAATAAGTGTGTACATTGATATATAAACATGTACAAACTTTTATGTATTGAACATAGATGTTTACATATATTTATATGTATGTTATATATTTTATAACTATGCTGTTGATGTTATTTATGTATAAAATTAAATTTTTTTTTATGTTTTCAAACATTTGAGTGCCAGCCAGCATAAAATGTTTCATAACAGGCTAGGATTTTAAACCAGCATACAATATTTTTTAACAGTCTAGGATTCATTTTTTATTGCTGCTTAAAATTTAATTTTGCAGAACTTATTTTTTACAAAAAATTTTTTAGGGGATTTTTTTACCTAGCAAAAAAGTATGCTACTGATTTGGCTGATTTTATGTAAACTATTATGTGCTAGCAGCCTGATGTAATATGAAATTTTGGCTGAAAATTATTGCCAAAATAAAAAGAAAGAAAAATTCTATAAATTTTTCTACCTAAAAATACATTAATAATCATTTTTTATAGTTTTTGCCAACTTACCACGGGGTGGGGTAAGTTGGTCAAGAATACGCTTTATTATTTACAAAAAAAAAAGGTGCCGTTAAGGCACCTTTTTTTAGCCTTTACTAAGGCTACTTTGTAAAGCTACTTTGAGCCTCTGTAGTCTTTACTAAGGCTACAGAGCTCAAAAAGTAAAAACAGAAGCAACAATAAGTAAAACCAAGTTTTACTTATTGTTTACTTTGGAATCGTTTTACTTATTATACGAATAAGTAAAACGATCAAACCGAGCCAAAAAGACAATTCTTTGAATATAAAAAAAACTGATCCAAACCAACTAATATCTTGAAAAATATAGTAAAAACATTTACTAGAAAATATATTTTTGTACTAAAAAGCGGAAAATAAATTTTTTTAAAAATATTTAAAAATTTCAAAACAGACCTGTCAATCTTTAGTTTACTGAAACTAGTAAAACTAAATTTAAATTTTATTTTCCGCTTTTCAACACAAAAAAAATATATTTTTAAGCAAATGTTTTAGCTATATTTTATTTTCTACCTTTCTTTACAATGAGTTATGGTATTTAACAATGCGTAATTATTGTTACTGTTCTATGTAGCATTGTTACCGTTATGTCGCAATATTATTATTAAACAGTGGTTCAGACGACTTGAAATAAAAATAAGAGTTGTGATTAAGTTCCCTAGTAACAAGAAATATTGGTACAATATTCATCTCAATATTGGTTTAAAATTGTTAACAATATTGCGCCAATATAAAATGTCCACATTTTGGTATACATAGTCAATATTGATTTCCAATAATAATTTACAATATCGGTTATTTATAAACTGCAATATAATGATTACAATATTATAAATTTTACAATATAAAAGATTCCTGAGGAGGAACTTAACACGAAACCCTATTACCCGCTCTTCAGGATTAGACGCCAATAACATCCACAGGACTACACATTTATATTTATGAGGTGAATGATTAAAGGATTGAAACGTTTTTTAGGGTACAAATAAGGCTTTTATTATGTAAACATTATTTGTTCGAGCGTACAAATAATTTGAATGATAATGTAATGAGAATAAAAAACTCCTAAAAATAGAATATTAAAATTTACAAAAAAATTTCCCTAAGATTTTACAAAAATAAATTCTTTTTTCCTTTAAACCCGCAACACTCAAAAAAAGAGCGTTTTTACATAGACAACGCTACGTGGAATATATTGATGACATAAAAATCAAATTTATGAACAAGTTACTTGGTGAAAAGTTCTGATTAAGTGAAAAAAAAAAGATTATAAAAACCAATGCTCTTTCTTTTTAAACTAACCTTTTTATTTATCACTATGATTGGTTGAAATTTGGACAATTTTAAATTGCAATTTCTCAATAACTACAATCAATTCTAACAATTTATTTAAAAGACGAGGTGTATATATTTAGTTTTTATTTCAGCAAAAAAAATTCTTAACTTTGTGACATGCAAGTAATTGAATTTTTTGTAAAGTAACCCTTAATCATATCCACAACTTTGTGTCTATAACTTTATAGACACAACTATAATATTTTTCTCATACCAATTTATACCATGCGTATCAAAGTTAAGAAAAATAAAGAAAAATAGGAAAAGAAAAATTAGGTAAAAAAATATCTGAAAATAATTTAGTTTAAATAATAAAGTTTAAGAAAAAATAATAAGAAAACTAACCTGCAGCATACTCTCTCACGTTGTTTGGTTTTTGCTTACAAATTTCACTAAAACAATAAGTAGTTTCATTTTTTTTTAATTCTGTTCATCATCATCGTCATCATCATCGTCATCATTATCATCATCATCATCATCATCATCATCATCATCATCATCATCATCATCATCATCATCATCATCATCATCATCATCATCATCATCGTCATTGTCATCTTCATCATTATCATCATCATCATCATCATCATCATCATCATCATCTTCATCATTATCATCATCATCATCATCATCATCATCAGACAAATTTTAGTACAGAAACTCTACATTTTTATGGAACATTCCTATTTCACAACGGTTGACGATGTTATAGTTTTTGCATCAATAGTTCAGATTACATTATTAGCATCAAAATAAATTAAAAATATGAGTTTTTTTAAAATGTGATGTTTGTGTCGTGTTTCTATATTATTCTATATTTTTATTTAGGTATGTGGCTAGCACTAATCTTAAAAATCAAGGAAAATAATTTACTTGTTTCGCTAACATAAAAATCTGCTGTTTTTGAAAAAAGAGAAAAAAAAATTTGGTATTTTTTCTACTGCGTATTTGTAATTATTTTGACTAGAAAATAATATGTTGCAAAAATTACTCCGTTTTAAGTTGATACGTATGGTATAGAAACACTGCAAAAATGTTGAATTTCTATACAAATTTTCAAAAAAGAAACAAATAACGACAAATTATCTGCTTTATTGACAAATACAATTGATTAAACATTCTTTATATAAAATTAAATGTTGCTTCTATAAAAGTTTCAAAAAAAAAAAAATTATTTCACACATACCAAGTAACATAGGACTGAGAGATATTCTCTTTATCGTCACTGGTATACATTCTTTACAAAAATGTAGTGTTTCTACACCAAAACTTTTTGCATGAAATGTTTCCACATTAATACTCGAATAAAAAGGTTTTGTGTAATCTAGTGAATAAATATTTTTCCTTTTCTTGATTTTAATATGCTTTTTCTAAATTAAATAAACAAACTTTATTGATTCATTGTAATTATTGCAATGTGGCGTTGATTAAACTTAGGCATTGTCATTATCTATATAGAAATCATACTCGCAAGTAATGTTTCTATACAAAAAAAAACCTGTTTACTCCGTTTATCAGCATATTCATCATATTGTAGAAATAGTTTTACTCTTTAAGTTGATTTTTTTTTCTATTAAAAAATAAAAAGATATCTTTTACTAATTTATAAAATCTTTTGCCTATTTCACTATAAATTGATTCAACAACATTATAAATTAGTTTACAATTCTCATCACTTGTATAAATTCCTAACTACTAACACACACGCACGCACACCAATTTTTCCTGAGTTTTAAAATCAACTGGTTTTGTTTATACACAAACAATTTCAAGTATAAAAAAGTATAAAACTGTTACTATTATTATTATTATTAAACTACAACGACATCGTCGTGAGAAATGGCTATATAAAGACCATTTATGGTAGTTGTAAATATGCATTTTTTATACAATTGTTATTATTGTTTTTTTAAATGTTTGTTGTTTTTTTATTTTTGACAGTATACTGGCAGTTGATTCCATTGTTTGATTATCCTAATTTTTAGAAGAGGTTGTACGAGATATCAGACTTGTTTTGTTCTCTGGTTAGAAAGTATTGTTGTCTTGTGCCATGATTGTGTTTTTCTTGGGTTAAACTAGAATATAAGTTTATTTTATTTAGTCCATTTTTAATTTTGAATTGTTGTATTTGGTCTCCTCTTAATCGTCTTTCTTTCAGTGTTGTCAGACCAAGGCAGCGGATCCTTTCCTCGCATGTTTTACCACTAATTTTTCGGACTAATTTAGTTGCCCTTCTTTGGACTGATTCAATTGCTTTGATATCTTTTAATTTATTCGGATTCCATACTGAAGCATCGTACTCCAGATGTGGCCTCACCATTGAAGTGAAGAGCATATTAAAAGTGGTAATGTTAAAGTATTTGAATGAATTTTTAAGCTGACCCAATATTTTGACGTTGCTATTATGGAATGGATTTGCCGGTCCCACTTTAAGTCAGCGCTGATGATCACTCCTAGGTCTTTCTCAAACTCTACCTTTAATAATTAATGCCCATTTACCTGATAATTATACTTTAGATTTGATTTCCCAATGTGAATTACTTTACATTTTCTCTCATTTAAAGACATTTGCCATGTTTCGCACTATTTTGATATAATGTTAATATTAGTTTGTAAACTGATCGAATGATTTTTATCTTTTATGATTCCAATCATTTTTGTGTCATCTGCTAAAAATTTTGGATTATTTTTGATTTGTGATGCCAGGTCATTTATGAAAATTACAAACAGTAATGGCCTTAGAACCGAGCCTTAAGGAACCCCACTAAGCACATGAAGCCAGTCTGAAATGGCGTCTCCTAGTATGACACGCTGTTTTCAATCTTTTAAATAAATAATTATCCTGTTTAGCATCTTATTTACTATTCCATATGCTATTAATTTTCTTAAACAAAGTCGTGTGTGTGGTACTCGATCAAACGCTTTACTGAAGTCTTTAAATATTATATCAACTGGAATGCCGTTGTCGGTAGCTTTTTTAATTAGATCAAATGATTCAAGCAAGTTTGTTGTGCATGATTTTCCCTTAACTAAGCCATGTTGATCCTTTGATATTAAATTATTTAATGAAAGATGTTCTACTATTTTGTCTTATATGATGCTCTCTATTACTCTACATACCACTGATTTTATGGAAATGGGTCTGTAATTTGAAACATCCGAATGACATTTACTCTTGTGAATTGGTGTAACATTTGCTCTCCATAATTCCGGTATTTTACCACTATTAAACGATAACTTAAATAAGAACTGAATTAGGTTAGACAATGAATCAAAGCAGCTAGACAGTACATGAGGATGAACTCCGTCAACGCCACATGATTTATGTTTGTTTAATTCTCTTAGTTTTTTTTTAACCACTTCCAATGTAAAAATATGATCAGTATTATACATTTGACATAAGTTTGTATCGGAAATTCTGAAAGCTCATTTAAATTTCCTTTTAAAGACTCCTGAAACTTTAGATTAAACATTTCAGCAATTCTATCCTTAATCAAATTTCCATCATTATCCAAGAGAGTATTGACAAAAAATGACAAAAAATATTTGAGAAAAAATATTCAATACAATATTGAAAACAAATAATTATTTTATATGTGACATAATAAAAAAACATAAAAGGTGTAAAATCCAATCGTTTCACATAACCTTTCTATTAAATCTATGACTTAATTAAAAATTTGTAATTATAGCTGAAGTGAAAGTGTCAAATTCAGGTCAGATTATCCTGCTACTGGTAACATATAACCCAGTACAACCTGTTTCATATCCTGCTGCTGTGTAGGATACGCTTTTTTGAGCAAAGACTCTGAGAAGCGAACTCCGACTTAAAACACCTAGGGATGGTGTCTCGATAAAAATACTCATCTTGGGCAAACATTGAACACATCTGGCTGCTGTCTTGTAGAAGGCCTCCTAGGCAAAGACTTAAAGGGTAAACAGATTCTATCTGTTGACCAGCCTCGCATTCCTTCTTCATCTATGAAGAAATGCCAGGCTGGCGCAGATATATCTATAATACATTGTTTCCAGTTTAGGATGTTAAATGCTGGACCTTCTTGATTCAATGCATGGTTATTGCTTGTGTTTGTTTTTATGACAAGCAACTCATTCTATTATCTCTTAACACAGCTCTAAAACTCAGTTTTATGGTTCTATGGTTTCTATCAGGTTTCCAGAACACTGTGGTTCTCAGAGTGACTGATTCCATCAACAGCTGTAAAGTATCAGAGTGTTAACAAAGCCATGTTGCACATGGGTGGTATCCCTGTTCATACTTTTGATGTGCATTGTCAAGGCCACATTTAGAGCCTTTTTTTACGGCTTAGGGTTTATTAATAGTAATAAGGCAGTTGCTTGGACAATTAAATAGTGTTCTGAGTACTATCTATGCTTTGAGTCAAATTCTTTAAAAAATTTTAAATTAATTTTTTTTTATTATTTCGCTGTTAAAAAAAATTAGAGATGAATTTTAAATGGTAAATATCAGTAAATAAAATGTTTTAAAAACAGACGGGGACTCAAAAAAAGGAATGATGAAATATCAACTCAATCTTTTCATAGAGCCCCTTAATATAAGAAAGTATTGTCAAAAAAAGTTAAAAATATAAAAATATATATATATATATATATATAAACTAAAGATATAGTCAGAAAACAAACTATTTTTACAACTACAATGATATTTTGCAATAACTATATTTCAAATTTAGGTATTCAAAGATTTAAAAGTACAAAGATTAGAATATTTTACATTAAAAGACACATATATCATTAGTAACTACTAAGATTAGTAACTATTAAGATGAGTAACTACTACTAAGATTAGTAACTACTAAGATTAGTAACTATTAAGATTAGTAACTACTACTAAGATTAGTAACTACTAGATTAGTAACTACTAAGATTAGTAACTAATAAGTAAAATTCATTTGAATAAATTTACAAAAGATTTTTATAATTTTTACTCCGCAAAATTAAAAACATGTTTTTTTGCTTGGAACTTAAATGAGTTTAATGATTTTACCATATTGGCATTATTTTTTTAAAAAGAATTCCATTACTTAGGTCTACGATATGCTATTGAATATTTTGTATATTTACGATATGCTATTGAATTGTATTTTTATATTGTATATTTACGATATTTTACTTTATTTACGATATATTTATTTTATTTACGATTACGATTTTACAATATATTTATTTTATTTATGATTATTTTATATTACGATATTTTATTGTATAATTACGATATTTTATGCTATTAAATTGTATTTTTATATTGTATATTTACGATATTACGAATTGTATTTTAATATTGTATATTTACGATATGCTATTGAACATTTTGTATATTTTCCTTGGCAGTTTAAAGGAATTTAATTGATTT